TGTTAAAATATATTTTAAAAAATTTACAAAACTAAACATCCTACAGTATTTTCACAGTCTTTATTTTACATTTAAAATAAATGTTTATCAAGTAAAGTTTAATGTTACAACTAATCGTGGATCCCTTTAAAACTTTGACATTGCATGTTGTCAGTAACTAAAATATTTAAATAACCACTGGATGCACATCTGCAACTGATAAACTTGATTCAAGGTGGTTGCCATCACTAATTGACGTAAGAGATCTTCGAATGGCTATAACAGTTTTAAAGATCTTAAACTAATATTAGATGTGCTTTTAGCAGAGAATCATTTTCAGCATCTACTTTGAGTACTAAAGAGTTTGTGCAAAAATATTTTACTGCAATCTGGTGCAATATGCATCAAAGTTAGACTTAAATTTTCTTAAACATTTTGTTGGGAAGATGGTTAAAATCCTTCCTCTGTGTTTGTTTTGTGTTTACAGGAGCCTACTGGAATCATTGAGTTGGTTCAGATGGTGGGCCATGGGACCTATGGGATGGTATACAAGGTAAGAATCTCTCAGAAAGACATTCAGATAGAACGACCCACTTAGGTCCTTTAGCTTGTTTTTGTCCATTTCCATCCCTTTTTACACACTAGCTAGACTCCCTGCCCTTTTGAATTGTACTGTATATTTCATAGATAGAAGGTGACTTTTTGGTGAAGTTATAATGTTGTAATGTTGCTGAAGCCTGAGCTGGTCTGCAGGCAGACTGACTCATCTGTTTTCTGCAGCTGTTCAAGTTGTATCTCTCAGTTTGTGTCACTGTCTCAGTTTCCTCTTCCCTTCATGACTGCCTGTCATTCTCTGGTCTGATCGTTTCCTTTCCCTGCTTCCTTAAAACAAGTGGCACAATGTGGTTTCACAACCACTCACTGCAATAAGCACGTTTCAGGCTGGTACACCCTGTTACTGTGCTGCATGTGCTTAATAGACCAGAGAGTCAAGGTCAGGTGGTGATGGAGGGGAGTTGTTCTTACAGCTGACTGGACCCAGTCAAAGGTCCGACACAGTTCAGGCATTTGTCTTCACACTTGTGGAAACAGATGGACAACCTTGCATGTGCGTATTTGTTTTCATGGCTCAGGGGAGCAGAACAAAACCCAGAGATAGCAGATCAAGAGTTTCTGCGGGTGGAACCATTTAGTGCTGAATTTGTTCTCTTCTATCTCATGAGCTATCCCCTCAATTTTACTGAAACATACAAGAAGTAAACACTGTTGAACGTCTACAACTGATTTATTTAAAGGGGACCTATTATGCAAAATTCACTTTTTAAAGTTTTTTTTTTTACTAAACTTTGGGTATGTACTTCTTAAGAAAACAGTCAGGACCAAAAAAATGCACCCAGGGGCATATTTACTGTAAGTAAATGTATTTTTAATGTATATTAACGACAAGTTTTATACTTCCGTCATTTTGTGATGTCACAAGCCGTACAACAACCCACCGGAACCTGGTTCAGCCCCTTACCTAGCAACCCCTGGGTGAGGCTCCGCCTCCTCAGTATAAAAAGCCATCTCAGTGTTGTTGTGCAACGCGCAGCTCATTTCACAACAAGCGTCCAATAGGGCAATGGGTAGAGTGTTGGACCAGAGAATGGGAGACCAGGGTTTGAGACTGACATGGACACAATTTAATTATTTATTTATTTTCGTTAGTTATGAACACGTTTTCTCATGTACCTCTATTTTTTAGCTTATTAAAGCCTTGTTAAAGCCTATTTGTTCGAGTTTCTGAGGTATTTTGACCGCTGCTGCTCCCTGCTCTGGTAACAGCATGCAGAGTGAGGGCAGAGCAGAGGAGGGGGAGAGAAAAAAAGAAGCTGCGACCGACTCTGCCTCTGGGTCTCATATGGTTGTACAACGGAGCTTCTGCTATTATTAGCCATGCTAAC